CATGCCGTCAGTGTTGCCAAAGATCACTGCACGCTGTAAGTGTTGACAAAGATCATGCAGAATATGAAATCATAAGGTTTACAGAACTAAGAAAGACATGTGTACTTTTGATTGTGAAGACCTAATGTAGAGAACATACACAAACAAAACAAAAACAGAAACACATAAATGTAAAACATAGATTCAAGTAATGCATGCCAAATCCTTTAGCTACAATTGTCAAGTTTTGTCGCATTTCCCAATATAAATTATGGTTCAATAAGAAAATGTTATTGTAATTTTTTTTCAAAATTAACATTAGGAAAACTATCCAATATTTTCTGGATAAAAAATCTAGAGGGAATTGCAACTAAATTCCAACTATGTACTACCGTGTAATGAACTTCCCTTTGACTATAAAGTATTATTCACTGCAAACCATAGAATTGATATCAATAATGATACACATCTTTTCTTTTTCTTAAAAAACTTTAAAAAAATGGATTTTAATGACATGAATCGATAATGTAATATGAAGAAAAATACAAATTGCAACTGAAATCATTTGAGCCACATATCGCATATAAGCAACACTGATGACAATGTGCTGTTTTTAAGATACTGCTGCATAAAGCATGAATTTATAAAGAGCACACAAGCTAAGGCAGAAATACAGAGAATTTCAGAAACTTGATAGGCAAGATTCACAAAATTTATAGATCATTAGAGATTTTAATAAGAAACTTCAAATGGAGATAGTGTTTATATTATAGTTTTGAGTCAGCATCCACATCTTGTAAATTTTGTCTTAGACCACAAGAGGGCGCTCTAACAATCAGTAGAGGGCGCTGTCCCAATAAGAAAACACTTTCCTTTTCTCAGTTAATTTTTTTTTTTAACACTTATAGTGTATGGCATTAAAATTATTTAGGTAATAGTAAGTAAATACACATACTATTAGAAAACTCGCTTCAGAAATATCCCAGCTTGATCATGTGTTAACCTAGTCCTGAAATTCAGCAGCTCAAGTAATCTCAGTAGCAACCAAAAAACATTCATAACCATCACCACATGTCATTTGCTATACATTGGAACAGAAATAACCATAAAACCCCTACCATGGCTAGCACCTTTACCGGGTCCAAAGCTCCCAAGTTGAATTTAGGAATACCGGTTACTATTCGACACACTGTTACGAATAACAAGCGTGTCGCTGACATTACTAAGGGGGTATGCAGACGTGTCTAGAATATCAGGAGTTTCTATCTCACCACCGAGCGGGTATTCTCGAATTAGAGCTCTGTCAGAAGATTTTGTCTGCATGGCTACCTGTATGATGAAAAGATTGGAGGACAAACACATGAAAAGAATGGTTATCTTTGCTCACTGAGTTGATTTTAGATTAGACATACAATGTTACAATGAATTATACTACAGTAACTGTGTGTGGTCATGAATCACTGCTGTACACTTGAACTTTTACTGAAACAACGTTACATGTTGTTAGTGTTGGGAATTTTTTTTGGAAGTCTATCTAGGATTGAAACTGGCTAAGGACATGGGTTTTAATTATTTCACGCTTTATAGAATGAAAGATGAAGTTTAAGTGTTTTCCAAAATCACAACCGAGCTTACTTTCTAATTACATACAGATTGATGCTACAGTAAGTGGTGAATAAAGTATAGATGCGCAATATTAGCACAGGATAGACAGGCAGCTATAGCAAATATGAATCATAAAATAGCCTTATACTAGCAATCACAAACGCCTTTAGTTGTTTTGTGTTTTGGATGTGCTTTGGAAATATTGTGCTTAATATATAGTTTTATTAATACAAACATTGCACTGTATTTAATAGATGACCAGAAATTACACACATCACATCATGCAGCTCAATCAAGGCATTTTTTTCAATGTCCTACCTTGATCTGGGTCCATGTAAGTCGGCTCCGGGTCTCTTTATCGAGACCATACACAATAGCATTAATTGCACCTTGTAGAGGAGACGTTAAGGCATGCAGTAAGACGAAAGCAAAGATAGGGTCGTGACTTATAGCATTCTGGATCCTACATTAAAAAAAAAAATGTTTTAGATACTATGTACTGAAACCCCAAAAATGTAAGTGCAGTACTTACTGTCTTCTATAAACAGATTGCCTAAAAATAATTTATGAGAGAATAAACAATTTAATTCATAGTCTAAATGACTCTCTTATCGGACACGATATATCTACATCTGGCAGAACATGACTGTATTTCCATAACGAACAAACATAGAATAAATTATTAGTTTGAATACACTTCTTTTCTCAGAAAGAAAAGCGATGAATGATGTTACAGATATAACGACAAATTTAACAAAGAAACCCCCCCCCCAAAAAAAAATTGTTCCAGAAATACTTTTAAAATTTAAGTCCTTTGCAAAATGGTTTACAGTAGCAGCCACTTTGACGTAGATATGTAGATTGTTGCATATAGAAAAATCATATACATTAGTTTAAAATAAATACTTACCTGTTAATTAATGGGAAGATTGATATAATTAAATAAATAAATGGATAAACTAATAGTGGCTTTATTTCTTCTTTCAGCAGCTGCTTGCTGCGCTCCGTTTCTGGGTCGTAGGTCCCTTCCCAGGCTTTTACCTGTTGAAATGAACGACATATTTAGTTACCAGAAAAACATAAGTACTCTTGTGAAATGTTAGAGTAAAGAAGTTACATATTGATAATGAAATGCAGCAGTCAACGGAGGTAGAAAAAATGTCCATATGCAACAAGTGTTAAAGAAAAATGGTGGCTGGCTGAGGGACAATTTCAAATGGCATGTTGTCATGCAGTGTTGAGTTAATTCCATGTTACAATGTGTGTGTAAACTGATCACTGTGTATATGCTCTAATTTGAACTTTGAACATGTTAAATTGTCATTGAGCACTAACTACACCCAGGTTTGAAGTTAAAAATTGAAGTTGCCTGTCCAATAAACATTATTGACAATAAACGTTCCCAACTTGTGATGTACTTGCCCTTAGAAAATAAATTTGGGCATTATTTGAGATAACATTTTTATTCTCGGTTCATCTTAACTTTAAACTTTTTTGAACAATCAAAGCTTAGGATTAACTTGCTCGGTCAATCAGTGAAATTTGTTTTCACCTGTCCACAGGGACAGTCACCACCTGAGACATTTTAAAAACAATTACTATAACCATTTAGTTTTACTAACATTTAATTTCACTATGTTGATGTTTTGAGCATATTCACTGTGTTTTAATTTCAAAAATTTGCCAAGGAAACAATGGGTTCTATTGTTATTTTACATGTTTACGTAGATTTGATTTAGCAGATTTTACTTATTAAAACCTGGTGAACAATTACAGTAATGCATTTACAGTGTATAGGTATAAAAGTGCAGAATTCCTACCTTCCTGTTGACATGAATTATAATGTACAAGTAAATGCAGAACATCAGAAAGATAATTACAAACAGTGGACCATACCAGCTAAGAAAAAACAAAACAAATCTTGATGAATATTAAAGCACTGACTGATTTCTCATATGCTACGTTCACACGACAGCATTTTATCGGAGCCCAACGGCTCGAGCAGGCCTGAGCCAGCAAAAATGGACGTGTAAAACGTTCGGCTCGAGCCAAGTTTAGCTCCACTAAACCCTCGGGGTTGAACTCCGATAGGGTTGAGTCCCGACATGGCTCTGATCGTGTAAACGCATTGGGGCCCAACTATCGGAGCCGAAATCACCTTCGAGTAACCTCTCATTTCAATTATGGCGGAGACAACATCTTTCATAATTCCCCGCAATTTCCGGCTTGAATAAGAGGTACGTGTCCTAATATATAGTAACGAATTATTGCAATAGATTTATCGCTCAACGGGAAACAAAAAATGGCGTACGAAATTATGCGACAAAAACTTGAAAAAACGACTGAACGGAAACTTTTTAAAGACACTAAAGATAAAAACCGTAGAAGCGGTCGCGGTACGGTGAGGTGAGGTGAGGTGTTCTTGGTAGGTTTAGATTCTTTCATAGTTTCTCTATGATAGATAGAGAAAATCTGTGATTCTTCCTAGTAGTTTAGATATCACTAGAGTTGAATAGTTACAAAATGGTAATTTTGCATGACAATAACTTGAGCGAATAGGCTGTATTAAACGCATTTTAGCTGCCGTGTTTCCTATTTATTCGAGATACTAGTACCTAAATCATAATACCAGTCAAAACACAAGCACAACATTAAAATCGTTTTCAGTTACTAATTATTCAAGGTCACTGTTCCGGTCGACTCTGATCGAACTGAATCGAACTCTGGCAGATTTCGGCTCCCTACCGTATGAACGCATTAGAAAAAATCTTCTGTTAATCCGTGGGAGGAGAAGCACCTCGTTCGGCTCCGATAGAATGCTGCCGTGTGAACATAGCAATTGATGGCAGTTTTAACGTTTAGTCCGATATAAGCACATTGACGTTTAATCCCATATCAAAAATTCAAACATTTGTTGAGTCAAATGACTAGCTCAGTTATTCATGAGTACAGGTAATACATCAAATTTGCACGAGACAAAAACATAAATCACTAATCAGATCACAGGGAGCAGACATTTTAAATATTTTATTTCATACATCTTAATTTTCTGACAATTCTCGCTCTCAAAAAAATATTTTTTTATTACAATAAAAATAGGTTGATTTGTAGTCTTGTTTCGTATGAACACATCATGAACTGACATATTTTCTGAAAATTAAAACCAAACTCTCAAACTACTGTAAAAATACTTTATTTAGCAGGAATTAGTTTATGCTGAAAAGACTCTGTGTTTTGTATGGCATTTATTGCCAATGATTTTTGATTATACAAAATATAGGAAAAATTTATATTTGCTGGATTTGATTTTCACTGATCCCTTCAGAGAAAATTGCAAAAATAAAGTATTTTACAGTAAAACAGGTAAAAGACAAATAAAATATGTAACTTACATGACAAAACGCCATGTTGTATCATTTTCACCATTAATCCAGCTGTAAAGATAACATAATATGTATTAATATAATTCATAACAATAACAAATTTGTCAGTGAGGTAAACATCATTTATCTTCAGATCGTATACATACTTGATATTGCTATTTTCACCTATTTTTTAATTTTTTTAATTCAATTTTCCATTTAGCAGTTTATACAGTACAGATTTCTAGCAACCTGTTCTGCATTCATTAATTCCATTCAGGTTTCACAGTTGCCTTCCCATTGTGCATATTAGCATCACGCATTTTAACTACTGTAGTAGCAATCAAAATTACTGTGTGTAAAACAAAAACATTGCCATCTAACTTCCTATAATCATCCATGTATGCAAAATCTTTTCTTTAAAGAATTAAATCTAAGTCTATTAATTCACCTCAGCTGAACCAGTGCACTTGATTCCCAATGAACTATGGTAAAATGGGTGTTTGAAATACGTGATGCGAGTAGGCAACACTAATGTGATAAAAGGTAGAGGCAAACGCAATTAATGCACAAATGTGACACGTGGGGGGGGGGGGGGCTGTAAAAGTAACATACAATTGAGAGGTTAATACAGACATAAACCTGTTACCAACAACTACGATGAAAGTAAAGAGAATCATACATAAAAAGAGGACTCACCACCAAGCACCAGCTGGACCATAGTGGTCTCCTATAAATGGCAGCAGAGAAATCAGCAGTGAAAGCCCCCAGCAAATTACATGGTATATTCTGAAATAGAAATTAATAGGAGTAAAATGTCAATCTACTTTAAATAGTCTGACAAAAATGAAAGACAATTTTGTTCAGATCAATTTCATAATTTCGCAAATGATACCAACTGGTTTTGTATTTTGTGAAAAAACTTTAATTACTTGGTGTAAAAATCAAAAAAGAATTAACAATTTTTCATCAAGCTTGTAATAAAGCAATATTCTATTTTATTCTTTCGGTATTCTAAATTAAATAGAAGTGTGCCCTCTAGTAGGAAATATTTTGCGAAGATTTTGAGTTAAAATGGAATCCCCCAAAATAAGTAAAATTGTTGAATGCTGGGAAGGTTGATCTTCAAGAAAAAAAAAATTGCATGTGTCTGTATAGGTGATTTTAGACACAAACATAAATCTTGTGACCCCTGCTTTTCTTTGTTTTTACATGTGAATTTAATTTTACAAAATTACAAATTCCTTAACTTTAATGTCATCACCTACGCATGCGTCAGATGGCCATAGCGTGTTATTGTTTACAAACAAGCGTCTATCCATGAGCCTTTGCGTTTTTTGTGTTGTTATCGTCGGTTGAGACTCAATTCCTGTGCGTGCGCAGGTGACGACCCTCCCGCTTTAAGATCACAATATCAATGACCCCCAAGTGAATTAGCACAATAGTTGCATCGCAGCAAATTCTTTGTGTATCCGTGGTGTGTCATATTGGTTTAGAAGGCACCAATAAGCTTGTCCCATTGTAATGCCAACATTGCATATGAATAGAGGATAATGTATAACAATTTTCACTATAATAAGCTGACTGTAAACTATTGGTTTTGTGGTGAAAATTTAAACTTGGTGGTACAACTATGTTTTAAGATGAGAACAATGGAAATGTTTAGTGTGGGAAATATTGAGCGACTAGTCACAGTATGGGAACTTACACAAGGGTTCAGTCATTAGGCATACTTACAGCTCATATCGATCTGTTTTGATCTGTCTGACGGCATTACAAAATAAATTAAATGTTATACAGGAAACCCAGAGTAAAACGCACCAATCTGTTAAGATAGAAAGGGAACATGATAATAAATAAGCTTTTATATGCATCTTCTCCCAAAAAATCACACATCCTGCACCTTTTGGCGGTACAAATTCATCATAAAAAATTAGTGAATAATTTGTGACCACCAAAAATTGGTGAATAATTTTAAAAATAATTGCTGTTTTCAGGCAAAAGCACGGGCATGTGCAACTTTTAGTGGTCATACAAAAAGTACCGGTATATTAATTTTGAATTCTCTCAATTGATACACTTATTTACATACTTCATGGGTTCAAAATGCAATCATTATTTCCAGGAATATACAAGCAAGGACGATAATCATTATTTTTGTAGGCCCACTCAGGAAATACTATTACGATACAAACAATATTATGATATAAACGGTTATTAACGTGAGAAAGCCAGCTCATAACGACTTATAGGATTGAATTGATCACACCTATAACTTACCAAAGAATGTCAACCACCATGCTTGAAAGTCACACAATGGTCCCTCAGGATGCAAATCACCCTGAAATTAGATTGATTACACGTAAACATCCGAATAAACAAGGTGTAGAGATGCTTGAATTGTCACGTGCAAGCTAAGCGGACAAATTTGATTTGTTGATGTTTTAAACTCAATTACAGAAAATTACATGTAAGTACCAATAATTAATGTAAATTGCAATGTTTGATCTTTTTGTCTGAATATTAGGTTCCTTCCGATTGAATTTTTGTGAATATTTTATTCTGTAACTCAAATATTCTTAGAAGCATTAACAAATTGCATTTATGTAACAAGCAGCCTATCGGCTGAGATAGCTCCGCTACTAGCAATGCACATTTCAATTAAAGAACTGAAGACATCATTAGAAAATGAACAATATGTATAGTATCAAAGCAATTGGACTTACAGTTTTTAACAAGAAGTCGAAACTATCACTTTCTACCAAAAATGACAAAAATATTCACCAAAATTAGAGAATTGAAGTTATCACGAAATGAACTAATCTGAGAAAGGTCTACATGTAGTATCTATATATGTAATATCAAAGCAATTGAATTTTTGGTTTTTAACAAGAAGTCAAAAATATCACTTTTTACCAAAAATGACAAAAATATTCACCAAAATTAGAGAATTGAAGATATCATCACAAAATGAACAAATCTGAGAGAGGTCCACATGTAGTACCTACCGGTATATATGTAATATCAAGGCAAACTAACTTACAGTTTTTAACAAGAAGTTGAAAATATCACTTTTTACCAAAAATTACAAAAAATATTCACCAAAATTAGAGAATTGAAGATATCAACATGAAATGAACAAACCTAAGAGAGGTCTACCCAAGGTACATATACACCAAGTATCAAAGCATTCAGGCTTGTAGTTTTCAAAAAGGAGTCGAAAAAGTAATACATTGACATGGACGACGCACAATCACTCATATGATAAGCTCCGCTCGACAAAGTCGACAGCGGAGCTAAAAATAGAAGGACTGATACCGCGACAGACAAAGACAGACAGTTGGTCGGACAGATATGAAAATGTCCCTTTTACAATCAGCACTTTCAGGTGAACACACTTAACCTTTATACACGTAAACACAAAGTAGAAAAAGCATTATTAGTCATTAAATCTATCCATCGGCATCTATCATTAAATGTAGTGCAACATCCAAGAATTTTATTTTGATGTAAATTTTCTATATACCGTACTTAACTAGGGATTATAATTGTACAAAATGTAATAGCGAGTCATATAATGTATATTTTCTAGTCCAATGAAAAACACAGGATTTGATCTTGGTTTTAAACATTTAAAATGATATATTATTTCCCTACATGCGACAGAAAAGCTTTTAAAGATTTATACACCATAATGGGAATACAACTGCAAATTGCAGCAGCATAATAGGTTTCAAATAGCAAGCCACTATAATAATTACACGGACGAACAGAGATAAGGTGATTACATGCAGAGCAATTTAGCTCCAGGACTCAAGTTTGATGGATACCGAGACAGTTAATCACAGACAAGAAAAGAATGGAAGATTTGGATATCGTTCCCCAGATGATTTCCTAGCCCAGATATGAGCAGTGATCTCAAGACGAATGAACACAACTTACCATTAAGTATGCAATGCTATCACATAATGCAGCTATACTCAGATATAATATCAATCTCTGTGCAAAAAATTGGTACTTTTTGAATAACCATATCACTGCTATCATAAACACGCTGAAATTAATTAAAAGAAAAGAAGATTTTAATTATGATCATTATTGATCTGCCAGATTTTCATTTCACGAGTCTAACACAGCTAAAATAGATTTTTTGCGAAGAGTTATATTCTGATGTAAAACAACACTTAAATATAATAAGAATATAATATATATAGGTAAAATCACAATCCAGTATGTACAAGTTTAGAATTTTAGTAGTGTACCAGGGCTGCTTCTTTTGAAACCTGGATTTTTACTAGTATTGGTACCAATGCAATAAACTACCCCTATTATTGTTCTTCCAAACACCTGTTCTATGTGTTCTTTATTTCTGATCTTTGTTGATAAGTATAAGTAAAATTACAATATGCCTCATTTGTTTCACAGGAAAAATTTAAAATTTAAAATCTAGTAATATGATCAAATTTTAAAATTTTATATATTAGTCGTGCTTAATTACTAAGCCTGCTTTTATTTTCACCTAATTTGAAAATTGCTAAATGTGCTATAAAAACTAAATTATATTTACATAGAACCAAGTAATGTACTGTTTTTTTTTTTGAAACCAGTAATTTAATGTAAACACCTAAAATTTGGAAATACTTTTCCTGCTAGTGAAATTATTAAGTACTAACAACTAAAAATAACGATTTTACAGTAAAGAAAAAAGTAAATGTGTGCATTTTTGCTATTTTCGCTGTAGGGATGATGCAGTAAAAATAAAATCCAGTGGATATACCTTTGTTTCCTATATTTTACATTTAACTACTCAAAAATCATTTTTTTTTTATCAGACATAAATTACTTTGTATTTGCTGATTATTTAAAAATAAAACATGTTTAGTGATGTTTACAGACGCGT